TTTATTTAATAAAACCTCACATAAAGTAAACAATAAAGTACAGTAATGGTATTTATAATAGAGTAAGAGCATGAAACAGTTATGAGTGTTCAGTATATGACATGATTTTATGAGTTGAAACAAACAAACTCACAAACACAAAGAAAAACCTATACTAAAGAAAAAGTAGCTAAAAAGTGTTTATGGAAGTCTAAGAAATGAACTGAAGCTAAATTATTGCAAAGTAAAGTTGTAATGAAGGCAAACTTAGCTAAATATGCAGAAGCATCTGAATGCATGTTCACAAAGTGATATGGTTTTGAACAAACTGAGCATGTGTATCTTAGACCTAAATAAGTCAAGAAAGGCCAAAGCAATTGTATTTAGTGTAATGTTAATTTTTTAGGAAGTTACATGCACATTAAGTGTCATTTGTGTTAAATACTTTGCAAATAAAAAACTAAAGCTGAAATAGAAGCCAGTCATCATGTGATGACAATGACATTGTGCCATCATGAACCATACTCATCGCATTAAAAAGTTTGACTAAGTAAAAAAACAGATGAAGTGATTCTCAATGGAAAACCCAATATACAATCGGGACTCCTTGGACAAAGGCCTTTCTAACAATATGAAATTTGTAGCATTTGGTCAAGAAATATGCAAGAAAAGGTCTGGACAGACAAATGAAAGCTTATTATTTATACTGATTATGAAAATTTATTATTTGATTATTTATTTATTAGATGAATAATAAATGAAACTATGATCGACTTCTGAGGTACAGAAGATTTTGATGTAATTTATTATCTTTTCAGCCTTTTTTTCTAACAAATGTGTCAACAGTTAGTCTTTAAAATTTCAAGTAAAGCTTCCAATTCAAATATTAACTACTATTGGTCAAATCTTGCTAAACACAAGTAAATTATTTTACAGTAAAATATGATGATTTTTGGTCAAAAAGGAGAAAAATGCAATATAATGATATAATAATCAAGTGTCAGCTCACTTTAGCACAACAAACAAGCACTTTAAGTTAAAATAAAACTTACTGGGTGTATATAGTTTGGGTCAGCTCCAAGAGATAGTAGTCTTAGGCTAGTTTCCAGGTTGGCTGTTCGAACACTAGAATGTAGTTGCTATAAGGAAAGAGAATAACTTATGCTGTACAGAAAAAACAAATTAATTTGCAGCAAGCTTCAGAATCTTGATAATTTGTGATTAATAATCAAATTCATTACATTAAAAGCTAGTATTAATCTGGACATTGGCTAACCTTATGATAATCAGTGCCATTCTTAAATTCCTTTTTGCACACATTACAAAGTGTTGCTGAGTTATATTCAAAATTTAATTAAACCAGCTTACTCTCAATGTATAATAATGAAATTAGCATTATCAAGTACGTTATAATTCAAAGTATGCTATTATTTAAGTTTTGATTCACATTTTGAAAGTTTCACTCCTTCAATTAAATATATTGGGTCAATCACTACAAGACTCCACAGTCCAATGAAAGAATATTATAACATTAAACCAACAAACTAATGGTAATACCAACTTTTGTCCAAATGAATGTGATGTTGTGCCTACCCCCAGTTTTTTATGCATCACTATCCATTCCTGAAAAGAATACCACCTTAGAATGGTAAAATCCTTAGCCATTAAGCTAAAAAAAAACACTATTAATCAGGAGATAAGTATACTACCACTACATCTTCAATCATGAAGATGTAAAGAAAATAAACATAAAGCAGACTAGAAACTTAATTTTCTAAATGGTAGGTTCAATGAGACAAGCTTCAGAAAAATTCACTGATAAAAAATAAAGTGACTTAATCAACCTCAACTCAAATCTAAGTAGTTTACCTTAAAAGAATAAGAAATTAAGTACGACAAAACTGGTATGAAGAATAAAAAACCTTTAACGACTGTAAACATGACTTGAGTAAGACAAGATAATGAAGAAACAATTACTCTATCAAAATAGCTTACATCATAGAATGTGAGAAATAAAGCATGATACAATAAACAGTAGCAGTTTAACAAAATTTTAACCAACATTAAATATTCAGTTTGGCAGTTTGTTAACCCGATGACTACCAGCTACTACCTTTCTTAGTAGGCAATGCAAGGCTTGCTAAATTTCATTCCAACAATAAAACTAGTGGACGAATATTTTCGAAAATTCATAGGTACTTTGACAAATGTAGGTAGTTTAAGAAACATAAAAAACTAAATTTATTAAAAGTAATAGGCGATCATAATGACAAAAAATGTAATTTTCCAAGATATTAAAAAATCGTATTTGTAAGAAATGATTACAATATTTATATTTGCTACAGATTTGAACTTATTACTTTTAATGTTTTAGTACATTATTTTGAAATACCCCAAAAATTGTATCCTACATAAAATGCAAATTTTATCTATTTTTAATTTTTTTAATAATCACGTATACTTCTTATGGTTTCAAGTAATATACAGACCCGTAAATAATATTTGTAAATAAACCTAAACAATAAATGAGTATTTTTATTTTTAACTAGGATTTCATGTTTATATATGTACATAAAAAACATTTTAATTTTGTTTCATAAATATATTTTTATTTAAAATTTATGTTTATGTTTCATTGCAATTGTACTTTTGTGTTTATTGTGCCGAATAAACCTTGGGGTCAGCAGCGTGAACTTTGTACGTTGTCCGTAAACTATCTCACCCTTTTTGGTGGTCACTCTCGTTCTACTGAGCGCGTGCGCATTTGAACGTTACTGTAGATATGATAGTAAGAAAGCTTTTCGGTACATGAATATCATTTCTTTGAACTTTCAAACAAGTTTATTTCAACATATGTCTGTGTATGTTGTTTCAGAATAGAGACAAAACTAATTGCCACTACTAACAAATGTATGTAACAGTTTATAGTACAGGTGGTTTCAATAAACACCGCCTGAGCCTGACCCTTTGTTACTTGATACATCCTGTCAGAAGAGATTACCAAACGATACAGACACCATAAATTATAAAGAAAATTACTTTACAGCACTTAAAAGATTAGTCCTGGTCCACATTCCTCTCATTACAGGCAAGATTTAGGTTGAAATGCGAAAGTTAAGCTCTTCAATGTATTGAGACCCCAACTGTGAGAATGTCATAGCTTCCATGTATTATTGGGATGAATGTATTTAGCCCATTTCACAACCAACATATGAGTTTTATTGTTGTCACTACTGAGTTTGAACCATTTGCAAAATATCAGAATAAACTATATGTATATATCAGTTAGACTGTTTTAATTCTAACGCAATAACAACAGAAGTGTGGGTCTTACTACAAAGCAAAGATTGTAAGAAGGAAAAATATATAATTCTTTTGTGGTACTGGTACTAGTAGTATTATGTACAAATCACACAAGTTTATCATTCTAAATACTGAATCATATTATTATTATTATTATGAACTAAATATAAAATTATGCTAAATTATTGAGCTTAAAACTACAAATTTAAATTCAAGAGAATATAAAAAATCACAAACTCTTTCAGTTCAAAGTCCTAAGTCTAATTCATGTAAAGACTTTGCACTCGCCACTCGGTAACTCTGAACCCTAACAATCGTGGATCAACTTCTTTCCTAAAAAATATATCTATGTTGAGTTAATTTTTCAATATAATGATTAATATAAACAGATATACAATGCAGCATGACTTAAGCTACTATATAAAAAAAAATAAAAGTCACGTACATCCCATGCAGTTTTTCCAGAAGCAACTTTTCTAACGCTTATAGAAAAGCCCTATTGGCCAGTACTAAATACAACCTCTACATAAAATGGCAGTTACTATAATAAGCACCACCCACATTCATATTGTAAAATCCAGAGAACAATATTTCATCACGTGCTTTCCTTATCATCCTATGATTTGTCAAATGGGAGATACAGGAACTGGAATAATCTGCACTGAAATTGACACTTTCGACTAGGATTGGCTAAAAGTTTTACAACTTAGGTTTAACACGCCCAGACGCAATTTTATAAAGAAAACAGACTAGAAAAAGGTTTAGATACCAATCATAGATGGCAGGACCAGTGCTGAAGTGAAAGGAAATATCTTAAAAAAAGTTTTGAAAAAAACATTTCTTCTTAGAAGGCGCTTATTTACAGTCTAAAACGTATTTTAGAAATTTTTCATTAAATTCCTCTTTAAACTTCATTAAATAATACAATTTTGTACAAATAATTGAATGTTATGCTACTATTTACAAAATAAAATCAGAATTCCATTAAAAGATAAGTTCTCTATCATTTTTTTAATTCACAAATGATTTTTCCCTCACAATAAGACAAAATGGCCCCGGCAAAAATCGGGTTAAGCAATTTTTTATAATTTGCCAATGTATTTAAAATGTATTATGTAAGTTAATTGGAAGAGCTTCATTAAAAATAATTATCATATTTAATAAAAATATTAAGAATCTTAATAAGCAAATATAGTATTAAGAATTTGATACTAATTGAATTAAAATCTTTGTTAATTAATTAAGTCGTTTTTTGGAGTGTATAGCGATTAAAATATAGGGCTTAAATAAATATCAAAGTTTGAAATTGTTAGATGCTTACCTCTTGTGAGCTCTTTCAACACTCAAATATACAAAATATATGACATAATTCACTGAATTCAGCCCCTTTT